CTTGGCGGCCCCTCCTAGTTTTTCGCCTCGGCCGTCTTCACCGCCTCTACACCCAGACGCTGTGGACTCTGGTGCTGCTGGAGGTGGTGACACTGGGGGTGCGGACTCTGAGGGTGCTGGTTTTGGGGGTGCTGAGTGTCCTACGGGTACAGGAGGAGCTGACGGTGCTGCAGTGGAGGTGCTGGAGGCGCTGGTGCTAGTGGTACTGGAGTTGGAGGTGCTGGAGGTCCTGGTGCTGGAGAGGCTAGAGCTAGTGGCACGTCGGCAGGAGACTCTCTCGCCCGAGCGGCTTCGCGATTGGGCTGTCCGATGGGGCAGCCCTGGTGGTGGAGCTGGCCGTGCTCGAGCTGGAGGTGCTAGAGCTGGAGGTGCTGGAGGTACTGGAGCTGCTGGTGCTGGAGGTGCTAGAGCTGCTGGTGCTATAGGCACTGGGACTGCTGGTACTAGAAGTGCTGGAGCTACTGGTGCTGGAGGTGCTAGCGTTGGAGGTACTGGAGGTACTGGAGCTGCTGGTGCTGGAGGTGCTAGAGCTGGAGGTACTGGAGGTACTGGAGCTGCTGGTGCTGGAGGTACTGGAGCTGCTGGTGCTGGAGGTGCTAGAGCTGGAGGTGCTGGAGGTTCTCGAGCTAGTGGTTCTGGAGGTGCTGGAGCTGCTGACGGTACGGGTACTGCACTGCACCGACCATTTTTCTACCCGCAGCCGCAGTCGTCCTTACCACCGCCTAGCTTGGCACTTCGTCAGGTTAGTCTTCCACTGGCCTTACTCCTCCCTCCCAGACTCCCCACTGTCTGCTCCTCCTTACACCGAGTAGCCAGACTCCCTGACAGAGCGCCGTGAGCCTGCGTCTCGTCCTGCCTCCCCTGTTCGCACTGTTTGCCGTGCTCGCCGTGTTCCTCATCCTCTTCCTCCACTAATCCCCGACACTCACACTATGGCACTTCGTCCTTCCTCTGTTCCACAGCGTATTGCCCTGCCGTCTCCTCTAGCGTCCTCTCTTCCTGACATTCCTGACCCTCCGTTTGACCTTGCTCGTGTTGCTAGTCCTACTGTCATGCGTCTCCTGGCCACAGTTGTTACTGACCCTACCTTTGAACCTACTGCTGCGTCTGCCTTAGTCGCTGAGCTCGTTGACTTTGCTGCTGCCTGTCGTCTAGACTGCTTCGCGAGTCCTGTCACCGAGTCTGAGTTTGCTTGTCCTCCGTCTGTTGGGAGTGAGTGTGCCCTTGGCGCGGACGTCCTTGAGGACAGACATTTTGAGCTCGAGTGTCTAGCGGCTGCTGTACCTCATCTCGCTACCGTGCTACTTGCCCCTAAGGGAGACCCAGATGCATTAGACATTCTGACTAGGGGAAATGAAGGCGGGGGATGCTAGCAGAGAGGACGCGGGGACGGCCGCCCACGTTACGCTCGCAGGTTGCGTGAGGAGGCCCGCCATGGCTGGCACTGCGATCGCGCTGCGTCGTCGCGGAAGCGGAACGGGCGGAAGCGGAACGCCGGACGCGGAACGCGCGGAAGCCCAGCAGGTGAGCGCGGATCACACGCAGCTGATTCGTGTGGGAGGCTCGTAGGCGACTAATAATAGAAGTGCGTGTGCAGGTCGGCGTCCCGACACAAGCACTATTCTGGATGCTGGCTCAATGCAGGTGCTGTATGCCGTGCTTGTGTCCTTCACTCTCTACTTAGATGTTGCCGATAGTAGTGACGCTGGCCAATCAGCGGCGGCGAAAACACCAATGCGGGTGCGCCACATGGCACAGGGTTTTACGGTTCACTGTACAACCGAAAATCATCAGTAAGGGCTTGTAAAATTCCCGCAAATATGCGAAATTTGCTTCTTGGCCAGTTTTACATCAACTATATGTCGACATTTCTTTCTCAGGTCGACGGATTGGCCGACTTCGTGCCGTAACATTTACAGCAACTAATTACAGGTTTGAGGGCCGAATTCCAGGCCAGTCGGAACGTATGTGCGACAGGGTCGCACATTTGACGGCGAGATCTCTGATCTGACAGGATATAAAATTCTGTCGTTCTGCGAGACCGTGAGACGTCGACGGTGTCGACTACTTGGCCGATTTGGAGTCGACATGTGTCGGACAGGAGTCGACTTTCAAAACGGCCAACAACTTCGTTTATTATTGGCGAAATTCGCGACGGTCGCGAGCGTCTTCGTGATTTCCGCAAGCGAGTTACTTTCGCCAATTCGGCCATTCGGCTTGTGGCCGAATTTTTAGGTGCAGCGATTTTACACGCCCTAAGAGCTCAACTGATTCAGTATCGAAAGCGGTTAGTTCTCCTACACCGCTTTGAACCGTGAATGAATTCATGTGAATGCTGAAATGATATTGCATACCGACCTCCTCACCCAAGCAAACCACCCTGCTCGTTCGCGAATGCGCTATGTTGGAAAGCAGCTCGGTACTAGAAAAATTCGCTGTTAGAACGTTCAACACAGACACATCGTGGTCCACCTTTCCACTTCATTAGCCGACGCTCCCCCGGCTTTCCTTTCGAGCACCGACCATCCGTGGCGAGCCTCGAGGCGCCTCACAAGCAAGCTCGGGCAGCGCGTGTTGCGGCGCCGTGACGTGGCGTCGCGGCACCTCTCGTGATCGCCATGGACGCGGCGGGAGCGGCGGAGTCGGCGGCGGCGATGGCGGCGTGGCGCGGCGAGGTGGCGCGGGTGGCGCGGCAGCTGGCGGATCGAACGGCGCTGGAGCGCGCCAATGGGCTCACGGCGCTGGACTCGCTGCTCGCCGGTGCGCGTGACACCCGCTGCCCGCTCTTCCCCCGCCCGTTCTCCGCCCACCCGTTCCCCTTGCCGCGCCCACCATTCCCAACTGCGCGTTCCGCTCATCCGCACATCCGCATTCCCCACTACTTCTGCTGCCGGCACTCCCTGGCCTCCTCGTCCCCACCGCCCTCTCCCTTCGTCATCCCGCTTCCTTTCCTTCCGCCCGTCTCTCTGTCCCGTCGCGCTCCATCCCCTCCGCCTCCCGCTCTCACTGCCCGCCTCCTCCGTTCCCTTATTCCTCATTTCCCTAATTCCCCCTCTCCCCCGTTCCCTTATTCCTCATTTCCCTAATTCCCCCTCTCCCCCGTTCCCTTATTCCTCATTTCCCTAATTCCCCCTCCCTCTCCCCCGTTCCCTTATTCCTCATTTCCCTAATTCCCCCTCTCCCCCGTTCCCTTATTCCTCATTTCCCTATTCCCCCTCTCCCCCCCGTTCCCTTATTCCCATTTCCCTAATTCCCCCCCCTCTCCCCCGTTCCCTTATTCCTCATTTCCCTAATTCCCCCTCTCCCCCGTTCCCTTATTCCTCATTTCCCTAATTCCCCCTCTCCCCCGTTCCCTTATTCCTCATTTCCCTAATTCCCCCTCTCCCCCGTTCCCTTATTCCTCATTTCCCTAATTCCCCCTCTCCCCCGTTCCCTTATTCCTCATTTCCCTAATTCCCCCTCTCCCCCGTTCCCTTATTCCTCATTTCCCTAATTCCCCCTCTCCCCCCCCCGTTCCCTTATTCCTCATTTCCCTAATTCCCCCTCTCCCCCGTTCCCTTATTCCTCATTTCCCTAATTCCCCCTCTCCCCCGTTCCCTTATTCCTCATTTCCCTAATTCCCCCCCTCTCCCCCGTTCCCTTATTCCTCATTTCCCTAATTCCCCCTCTCCCCCGTTCCCTTTTTCCTCATTTCCCTAATTCCCCCTCTCCCCCGTTCCCTTATTCCTCATTTCCCTAATCCCCCCCTCTCCCCCGTTCCCTTATTCCTCATTTCCCTAATTCCCCCTCTCCCCCGTTCCCTTATTCCTCATTTCCCTAATTCCCCCTCTCCCCCGTTCCCTTATTCCTCATTCCCTAATTCCCCCTCTCTCCCCGTTCCCTTATTCCTCATTTCCCTAATTCCCCCTCTCCCCCGTTCCCTTATTCCTCATTTCCCTAATTCCCCCTCTCCCCCGTTCCCTTATTCCTCATTTCCCTAATTCCCCCTCTCCCCCGTTCCCTTATTCCTCATTTCCCTAATTCCCCCTCTCCCCCCTTCCCTTATTCCTCATTTCCCTAATTCCCTCCCCCCTCTCCCCCCCCCGTTCCCTTATTCCTCATTTCCCTAATTCCCCCTCTCCCCCGTTCCCTTATTCCTCATTTCCCTAATTCCCCCTCTCCCCCGTTCCCTTATTCCTCATTTCCCTAATTCCCCCCCTCTCCCCCGTTCCCTTATTCCTCATTTCCCTAATTCCCCCTCTCCCCCGTTCCCTTATTCCTCATTTCCCTAATTCCCCCTCTCCCCCGTTCCCTTATTCCTCATTTCCCTAATTCCCCCCCTCTCCCCCCCGTTCCCTTATTCCTCATTTCCCTAATTCCCCCTCTCCCCCCGTTCCCTTATTCCTCATTTCCCTATTCCTTCCCTTATTCCTCTTTCCCTATTCCTCCCTCCGTTCCCTTATTCCTCATTTCCCTTATTCCTCCGTTCCCTTATTCCTCATTTCCCTTATTCCTCCGTTCCCTTATTCCTCATTTCCCTTATTCCCCCTCTCCCCCGTTCCCCCATTCGCCCCCAGGTGTGGCGAGCGGCAGTGACGGCGCGGCAAGGCGCATGGAGGCAGTGAGCGCGCGCCTGCTCGCCATGCAGGGGCGGGGGGACGCGGGGGCGGATGGGGGAACGGGGGAGGGGGAAGGGGCGGAGGAAGAGGCAGGGAGCGCAGGGCGTGGGGCGCAGGGGTCAGAGGAAGGGGGGGGCGGTGCAAGTGGGGGTGGCGGCAGCGGCAGCAGCGGCAGCAGCGTGGGTGGCGGGTGGAGTGCACGGCATGGGGGCTTCCTGGGGGCCGAGGTATGGCGGGCTGGGCTGGGCTGGGCTGGGCTGGGCTGGGCTGGGCTGGGCTGGGCTGGGCTGGGCTGGGAATGGGGATGGGGATGGGGATGGGGATGGGGATGGGGATGGGGTCGTGAGTCGCTCGCTGTGGGGTTTGGGCAGGCGAGGGGAGAATGAAAGCTGATAGGGTGCGATGCTAGGTGCTTGCCCTGCACAGCCCCATGGCAGCACAGCCCTATGGCAGCACAGCCCCATGGCAGCACAGCCCCATGGCAGCACAGCCCTATGGCAGCACAGCCCCATGGCAGCACAGCCCCATGGCAGCACAGCCCTATGGCAGCACAGCCCGCTTGCCCCAACCTGCTTCTCTCTCGTGCACCACCCCCGCACGCGCGGCAGGTGCTGCTGCGGCACTGGAGCAGAGTGCTGGGCGCACAGGGGGAGCAGCGCGAGCACGTGGGCAGCGAGGAGCCGTGCGCTGCAGGGGGCGAGGGCGCGGGGCAGGGGGGCGGGGGAGGCGAGGCAGGGGAGGTTGGGGGGAGGGAGGGAGGGGGGTGGGAGGGGAGCGAGGGAGGGGGAGGTGTGGCGGCGTTCTGCAGCGGAGCGGGGGAGGCTGTGCTGCGGCACATGGACGATGAGGAGCCTCGAGTCAGGTGGGGAGGGGGGGTGGGGGGAAGATCAGATCAGAGGACGAGGAGGTTGGGAGTGATGGGGTGAGGTGTGAGTGGGGTGGGGACGAGTGAGCAGGTGGGAGGGTGAGAGGGGTGGTGGAGAGGAAGATGAGGTCCATGCTTGTACCATGTGCACCGCATACATTCATTCATGCACGCATGCATGCTCAGCATCAGCATCAGCATCAGCATCAGCATCAGCGCATCAGCATCAGCATCAGCATCAGCATCAGCGCATCAGCATCAGCATCAGCGCATCAGCATCAGCATCAGCATCAGCATCAGCGCATCAGCATCAGCATCAGCGCATCAGCATCAGCATCAGCATCAGCATCAGCGCATCAGCATCAGCATCAGCATCAGCGCATCAGCATCAGCATCAGCGCATCAGCATCAGCATCAGCGCATCAGCATCAGCATCAGCATCAGCATCAGCAACAGCATCAGCATCAGCATCAGCATCAGCATCAGCGCATCAGCATCAGCATCAGCGCATCAGCATCAGCGCATCAGCATCAGCATCAGCATCAGCGCATCAGCATCAGCATCAGCGCATCAGCATCAGCATCAGCATCAGCGCATCAGCATCAGCATCAGCATCAGCATCAGCATCAGCATCAGCGCATCAGCATCAGCATCAGCATCAGCATCAGCGCATCAGCATCATCATCAACAACTGCATCAGCATCAGCATCAGCATCAGCATCAGCATCAGCGCATCAGCATCAGCATCAGCATCAGCGTATCAGCATCAGCATCAGCGCATCAGCATCAGCATCAGCGCATCAGCATCAGCATCAGCATCAGCGCATCAGCATCAGCATCAGCGCATCAGCATCAGCATCAGCGCATCAGCATCATCATCAACAACTGCATCAGCATCAGCATCAGCATCAGCATCAGCGCATCAGCATCAGCATCGGCATCAGCATCAGCATCAGCATCAGCATCAGCATTAGCATCAGCATCAGCATCAGCATCAGCATCAGCGCATCAGCATCAGCGCATCAGCATCAGCGCATCAGCATCAGCATCAGCATCAGCGCATCAGCATCAGCATCAGCATCAGCGCATCAGCATCAGCATCAGCGCATCAGCGCATCAGCGCATCAGCATCAGCATCAGCATCAGCATCAGCGCATCAGCATCAGCATCAGCATCAGCGCATCAGCATCAGCATCAGCGCATCAGCATCAGCATCAGCGCATCAGCATCAGCATCAGCGCATCAGCATCAGCATCAGCATCAGCAACAGCATCAGCATCAGCATCAGCGCATCAGCGCATCAGCATCAGCATCAGCATCAGCGCATCAGCATCAGCATCAGCATCAGCGCATCAGCATCAGCATCAGCGCATCAGCATCAGCATCAGCATCAGCATCAGCATCAGCATCAGCGCATCAGCATCAGCATCAGCGCATCAGCATCAGCGCATCAGCATCAGCATCAGCGCATCAGCATCAGCATCAGCATCAGCAACAGCAACAGCATCAGCATCAGCATCAGCATCAGCATCAGCGCATCAGCATCAGCATCAGCATCAGCGCATCAGCATCAGCATCAGCATCAGCATCAGCGCATCAGCATCAGCATCAGCATCAGCATCAGCGCATCAGCATCAGCATCAGCATCAGCGCATCAGCATCAGCATCAGCATCAGCATCAGCATCAGCATCAGCATCAGCGCATCAGCATCAGCATCAGCATCAGCGCATCAGCATCAGCATCAGCATCAGCGCATCAGCATCAGCATCAGCATCAGCATCAGCATCAGCGCATCAGCATCAGCATCAGCATCAGCATCAGCATCAGCGCATCAGCATCAGCATCAGCATCAGCAACAGCATCAGCATCAGCGCATCAGCATCAGCGCATCAGCATCAGCATCAGCATCAGCGCATCAGCATCAGCATCAGCATCAGCGCATCAGCATCAGCATCAGCATCAGCATCAGCAACAGCAACAGCAACAGCATCAGCATCAGCATCAGCATCAGCATCAGCGCATCAGCATCAGCATCAGCGCATCAGCATCAGCGCATCAGCATCAGCATCAGCAACAGCATCAGCATCAGCATCAGCATCAGCATCAGTATCAGCATCAGCATCAGCATCAGCATCAGCATCAGCATCAGCATCATCAGCATCAGCATCAGCATCAGCATCAGCATCAGCATGAGCATGAGCATGAGCATGAGCATCAGCATGAGCATCAGCTTGAGCATGAGCATCAGCATCAGCATCAGCATCAGCATCAGCATCTGCATCAGCATCAGCATCAGCATCAGCATCAGCATCTGCATCAGCATCAGCATGAGCATGAGCATCAGCATCAGCATCAGCATCAGCATCATTGCTGGACACTCACGACCACTCATGTCCTGTTTCTTCTCCCACACACGCCCTGCCTGCCCCTCCACCTCTTCCCCATCACCTGCTCGCTCGCCCCTCCCTGTCTGTGTGTGTGTGTGCGTGTGTGTGTGTGTGTGCGTGCGTGCGTGCGTGCGTGTGTGTGCGTGCGTGCGCGCGCCAGGCTGGCAGCGGCGGAGGCACTCTGCGCCCTGGCGCACTACGGGTCGCTGCCCGCCGCCCTCGCCCTCTTCAGGTCGCCCCTCCCCCGCTCCGCCCTCTTCTCTTGTTTTCATTCATCAAACCACAACCCGCCATGCCTCTCCCCCACCAATCATCCCCTTGACTCGCCGCGTCAGGCCTCCTCTCCCCTGCTCTCATCCCTTCCTTGATATGTTTATGCCAGCCGTGCCATCCAGCCATCCCTGCCAGCCATGCCACACACCGCCAGCATCCCCTTGTTGGCCGCATCAGCACGAGGGAATCTCCTCTCGCCTCCTTCCTTCTTCTCCCCCCCTTTTTCCCCCTCACGGCCGTGAAGGCGCACATCATGCGCACACGACTCTCCTCTCCCCCATCCCCCGATCCCCCCAATCCTCCGCAGGGCCGTCAAGGCGCACATCATGCGCACACTGCAGCAGCAGCAGCCGCTACCGGCGCTGCTGGGAAGGGCAGGAGGAGAGCGTATGGCACCTAGATGGTGTTCCATTGGACCCCAACCCCCACCGCTGCCCCTGTCCGCCTCCCCCCTCAGGGCCGTGAAGGCGCACATCCTTCGCACACTGCAGCAGCAGCAGCCACTGCCGGCGCTGCTGGAAGGGACGGAGGAGGGCGACGGGGAGGGGGAGGACGGGGAGAAGGGGGATGGGGCAGGGGAAAAGGGAAGCAGCCAGGCAGCCTTGGGAGCGCAGCAAGGGGAGGGGGGACGGGAGGGCGCGGAAGGGGGAGTGGCGGGGGAAGGGGGGGAGGGGAGCGAGGGGATGGGGGATGCGCCCAGTTCCCCCCGGGCGGACCAGGCAGGGCTAGCAGCGGCCATGGGCAGGGGGGGGAGCGCGGAGGGAGTGGGGGGAGCGGGTGGGGGAGGAGGGAGGGCAAGCGCGCGGCAGACAGCGACCGACTTGATGATGGTGGTAAGGGGGGGGGAGGTAGGTGGGCAGGTTGGCGGGCAGGTGTGGGCAGGGAGGCAGGCGGGCGGGCAGGTGGGCGGGTGGGCGGGGAGGCACGTGTGCTTGCATGTGGGCATGCGGGCCCAATAGTGGCAAGCTGTGGGGTGTACAGCTGAATCCAACCCTGTGCTACCTCGGCTGATGGTCCAGTCTTGCTCTGCATGTGCGCTGCACGCCTTGCCACCTGCCTGCCTCCCTGTGCCACACGCCTCCATGTGCCACACGCCTCCATGTGCCACACGCCTCCATGTGCTACACGCCTCCATGCGCCACACGCCTCCATGTGCCACACGCCTCACATTTCCCACTCTGCTTCACCCTCTTTCCTCCCACACCCCCTTTCTCCTCACCCTCTCGCTTCCCTCCCTAGGCGCGAGGGCGCAGTCTGGAGACGGCGCTGCGCTCGCTGCAGCGCCTGCTGGATGGGCTGGGGGAGAGGAGGGCAGGGGGGAGAGGCGCGGGAAGAAGAGGTGTGGTTGGCAAAAGCGAAGATGCAGGGGAGGGGGGGATGGAGGAGGAGGGGGAGCGGGGGGCGGAGTGGGAGGGGGTGGTGGGGGAGGTGAGTGGGGGGACGGTGGAGGTGGTGGGGCTGGCGGTGCGCCATGGCAACCGCTTTGTGCGGGAGGCCGCCATGTTCGCCCTCGCTGCGCTGTGCCACGTCATGGGGGGAGCACAGCTCACCAGGTGCGCTGCTTTGGGTCCCACATGCTTGTGATTATGCCTATGCCCTTGCTCCTGCTCCACCTGCACCTGCCACACTCTTTCCTCATCCATTCGCACCGTGTTCCTTGCTTCTTCTATAGATTCCTTCTTCCAACTTGCTTCTGCCTTCTGCCTTCTTCCTTCTCCTTTCTGCCTTCTGCCGTCTGCTTTCTTCCCACCCGTTTGAATCTGCTCGCTTCTGGCCCTAGATGCTTCCTCTGCCTCCTCTGCCTCCTCTGTCTCCTCTGCCTCCTCTCCCTCCCTGCCTGCCCTCCTTTCTCTCCCCCCGCTGCCCCTCTCCCCTTGTCGAACTCTCACGAGCCCTGTGCAGTTTGGGGGAGACCATTGCCTCGCACCTCGCTGTGGGGCTGGGAGACAACTGGAGCCAAGTCAGATACGGTGAGGTGCAGAGCGGTTAGATGCAGCAGTGCAGTTAGATGAAGTGCAATGAGGTGCACTTCGTGGTGAGACGCAGTGCTGTGAGGTGCTGTGCGGTGACACCAGCCAGGAGTCTTACTCTTTCCGCTCTGCTCCTTTCCCCTGCCTCCCACCGTGCCTCCCACCGTGCCTCCCACCGTGCCTCCCACTGTGCCTCCCACCGTGCCTCCCACTGTGCCTCCCACCGTGCCTCCCACCGTGCCTCCCACCGTGCCTCCCACCGTGCCTCCCACCGTGCCTCCCACCGTGCCTCCCACCGTGCCTCCCACCGTGCCTCCCACCGTGCCTCCCACCGTGCCTCCCACCGTGCCTCCCACCGTGCCTCCCACTGTGCCTCCCACCGTGCCTCCCACCGTGCCTCCCACCGTGCCTCCCACCGTGCCTCCCACTGTGCCTCCCACCGTGCCTCCCACCGTGCCTCCCACCGTGCCCCCCTTCACCTCAACTCCTCCTGCCAACCTCACCTGCCTGTCCCTGCCCACCACACCCTCGTTCCTCACCTCTCTTGTTCAGGCACCACAACGATCTGCCCCGTATGCTCCTGTGCTCCACAACTCTTTCTCTCTCCCCTTTATCCCTCTTCTTCCCCTTCCCCTTCCCCCCCCGCCCCCTCTCCCTCTCACCCACCCGCCAGCGGCGTCGGTGGGCAACCGAGCATTCTTCCTGTCAGCGGGGGCCGTGCATCACAAGGAGCGCTACCTGCCCACCCTGCTGCCCGCCATGTGAGCCAACTGCTGCCGGCCATGTGAGCCAACTGCTGCCGGCCATGTGAGCCAACTGCTGCCCGCCATGTGAGCCAACTGCTGCCCGCCATGTGAGCCAACTGCTGCCGGCCATGTGAGCCAACTGCTGCCGGCCATGTGAGCCAACTGCTGCCCGCCATGTGAGCCAACTGCTGCCGGCCATGTCATTCAACCATGCCATGCCATTCCACACCACCACGCGATGCCACACCACCATGCCGTGCCAGAGTGTTCAACTGCTATTATGGGGCGGACAGGGTCTGCATCTACTCGCACCGTGCTCCATATTCAATCCAACGTAGTATAACCCCCCTCCTCCCTCCCTCTCCCCCTCTCTCGACCCACTGCCCCCTTCCTCTTCCCCTCCCCTCTCGCTCCTCCCCCCCCCCCCCCCAGGGTGTTCAACTGCTATTACGGGGCGGATGGGGTGCGCATCTACTCGCACTGTGCTCCATACCCAATCCCCCTTCCAAAAGCCCTTTCCCGCCTCCTTTTCCCCCTCCACTCCCCCACTCCCCCCGTCTCCCCCCCATCCCCAGGGTGTTCAACCGGTTATTACGGGGCGGACGGGGTGCGCATATACTCGCACAGTGCTCCGTGCTTCGGATCCCCACTGCTGCTATACCCTTCCTTGTGTACCTTTCCCCCTCCCTCCCCACTCCCCCCCTCCCCCCCATCCCCAGGGTGTTCAACCGCTATTACGGGGCGGATGGGGTGCGCATATACTCGCAGGACACGTGGCAGCGCGTGATGGGCGGGGGCGGGCGGGCGGCGGTGGCGCAGCACATGGCGCTGGTGGCGGCATTTTACTGCCAGCAGGCGCGCGCCCAGAACTACCTCGTGCGAGAGGTGCGCTCTGAGAGACGTGCATGGGGTATGGGGCATGGGGCATGGGCCATGGGGCATGGGGCATGGGGCATGGGGCATGGGGCATGGGGCATGGGGCATGGGGCATGGGGCATGGGGCATGGGGCATGGGGCATGGGGCATGGGGCATGGGGCATGGGGCATGGGGCATGGGGCATGGGGCATGGGGCATGGGGCATGGGGCATGGGGCGTGTGGTGTGGGGCATGTTGCATGTGGCACGTGGCGTTCACTCACACAGTGCAGTGAGCATCACACAGTGCAGTGAGCATCACACAATCTCGTATTTCCCTTGCTCTGCTGCTTCCCAGCTGATGTCGTATGTGCAGCAACTGGAATAGCACTGCCTAGGCCAGTAACACAAAACCCTACCTGCGCTGCGCATTGCCCCCACCCCACCCCACCCCACCCCACCCCACCACACGCATGCCATCAGACGGCGTGCTTCTGCATCGCTGAGGTGGCTGCCAAGATCGACCACCCGGTGAGCTTGTAAAGGGGGGAGGGGGGAGGACGGTGGCGGGTGGAGGGGCAGGTGGGGCAACTAGGTGGGACGACTGGGAAGCACAGCACCTGCTATGGGCTGCCGCTACTGCTGCTGCAGTACAGCATCGGTATGCTCCTCTCTCCCACTCTCACCGCACTGCACTGCACTCAATTTCGCTGATTTGTTCAGCCCTTCCCTACCTCTTTCCCACGCACGCTCTTCATCCTGCTCCCTCTGTCCCCACTCCTACCCCAACCCCCCCCCGCCCCACATGGCACCAGGTGGTGCTACCGGTGCTGCCGGACTTGCTGCCGAGCCTCCTCCGCTGTCACACCGACCCTGTGTGGCCCGTGCGCTGTGCCGCCTGCTCAGGTGTGCCTCCGTCCCCTGCCCTCCGCAGCCCCTCTGTCCCCTGCCCTCCGCAGCCCCTCCGTCCCCTGCCCTCCGCAGCCCCTGACGTGCTCTTGTCTTGAGATGCCTCACAGTTGATCTACTCCTCCTCTGCCCTTGCCGTGCTGCACACCCCTCTGCCCACTGCTCCCCACTGCACACATCGCTCCACTTTCCATTCACCCCACTGCTCCCCACGCGCGCCCTTCATCCTTCGCCCAACACTGCTGCGCCTCCGTTCCCTCTTTCTCCCCTTCAACTCACACCTCTGTCCCCACCGCCTCTTTAACTCTGTCCCCACTGTCTCTCCTCTTTGCTGCCCACGCTACCAGCGAGTGCCGGCGTGGTGGAGCATTATGGTGACGTGGCAGCACAGCACATTGCCACGTGGGCACCAACCTGGCTTGCCAACCTTACAGACGGTACGCGTCCTGTCCAACCCACACATTGCACGCCGTCACTCGTCCCCCTCATTCCCTCCACTCTCCATTGCTCTGCCCTTTGCTTATCTACTCGTGTTCAGTTCTCTTCTACCACTGCCACCACCCAGCCTGCCACCACCACCACCACCACCACCACCACCACCACCACCACCACCACCACCACGGCCCCCTTGTGCCGTGCGGCAGTGATCCCGGCGGTGAGGCAGCATGCTGCGGCGCTGATAGGGGCGGCACTCACCACGAGGGAGACACAGGGCAAGGCGCTGCAGGTGAGTGGAGTGTCACACAGGCATGGGTCGCATCGCATCGCACATGTATGCTGGTGGCAGGATGGCATAATGGCAGGTTGGCATAATGGCAGGATGGCATAATGGCAGGATGGCATAATGGCAGGATGGCATAATGGCAGGATGGCATAATGGCAGGATGGCTTGGTGTGTCACCACATTGTGCCTTCCAACACATTATGCCACATGGTATCATGCCAACATGGTATCATGCCAACACGGCATGCGTGTTGACTCTTGCGCCCTGTTTTCCCCCTGGGCCACCTTCTCGCATTTCCCTCTACTCTCACATGCTTTCACTCCACTCAAACTCACCTCCGCAGTTTGAGACGTTTCAAGACTCTCTCACTCCTCTCTCTCTCACTCCTCTCTTTCTCTCACTCCTCTCTTTCTCTCACTCCTCTCTTTCTCTCACTCCTCTCTTTCTCTCACTCCTCTCTCCCCCCCTCGCACCTCAGATCACTCAAGACGCCCTCCACACCCTGCTGCCTGCCGCCCTCTCCTCCCCCACCCCGCACTCGCACACACACACTCACCCATCCACCCCTGCCTCCGCCTCTGCCTCCCCCTCCGCCTGCTGCCCTGCCCCCTCCCACTCCTGCTCCGCCTCCACCCACCACCCCCACCCCCACCCCCACCATCAACCGCACCCCGCGCATCCTCCGCCTCCTCCTACTGCTGCAGCAGCACCGTCACCAGGGCTGCAAGCTGTGCGCATCTCTCTCAGGTGGGCTGCAGGTGGTACGCATCTCCCTCAGGTGGGCTGCAGGTGGTACGCATCTCCCTCAGGTGGGCTGCAGGTGGTACGCATCTCCCTCAGGTGGGCTGCAGGTAGTACGCATCTCCCTCAGGTGGGCTGCAGGTGGTACGCATCTCCCTCAGGTGGGCTGCAGGTGGTGCGCATCTCCCTCAGGTGGGCTGCAGGTGGTACGCATCTCCCTCAGGTGGGCTGCAGGTGGTGCGCATCTCCCTCAGGTGGGCTGCAGGTGGTGCGCATCTCCCTCAGGTGGGCTGCAGGTGGTGCGCACTCTCAGGTGGGCTGCAGGTGGTGCGCATCTCCCTCAGGTGGGCTGCAGGTGGTGCGCATCTCCCTCAGGTGGGCTGCAGGTGGTACGCATCTCCCTCAGGTGGGCTGCAGGTGGTGCGCATCTCCCTCAGGTGGGCTGCAGGTGGTGCGCATCTCCCTCAGGTGGGCTGCAGGTGGTGCGCATCTCTCTCAGGTGGGCTGCAGGTGGTGCGCATCTCCCTCAGGTGGGCTGCAGGTGGTGCGCATCTCCCTCAGGCGGGCTGCAGGTGGTGCGCATCTCCCTCAGGTGGGCTGCAGGTGGTGCGCATCTCCCTCAGGCGGGCTGCAGGTGGTGCGCATCTCCCTCAGGTGGGCTGCAGGTGGTGCGCATCTCCCTCAGGTGGGCTGCAGGTGGTGCGCATCTCCCTCAGGTGGGCTGCAGGTGGTGCGCATCTCTCTCAGGTGGGCTGCAGGTGGTGCGCATCTCTCTCAGGTGGGCTGCAGGTGGTGCGCATCTCCCTCAGGTGGGCTGCAGGTGGTGCGCATCTCCCTCAGGTGGGCTGCAGGTGGTGCGCATCTCCCTCAGGTGGGCTGCAGGTGGTGCGCATCTCTCTCAGGTGGGCTGCAGGTGGTGCGCATCTCTCTCAGGTGGGCTGCAGGTGGTGCGCATCTCCCTCAGGTCCGTGCTTCTCCTCTCATCCCCATCGCACTTGCCACTGCTCGTAGCGCTGCCTGCCATGCCCACCTCTCATCCCCACATCCTGTCAGTGTCAGTGTTAGTGCCCCGCTCTACGTCCTCTACGTCCTCTCGTTCACTCAATTCTCCTCTCTGCCGTCCTTCAATTCACCTTTTTCTCTCACTTTCCTCCCCATACTTCCATCATCCCGTCTCCTCTCTCCCCACTCCAAGCAGGGACCCCTCGACACCACCAGACCCTGCACGCCCCTCCTCCCTTGACGAGGTACGCACTCCTCTCCTGCTCCTCCTCTCCTGCTCCTCCTCTCCCGCACCTCCTTTCGTATCTCCTCCATACCTCACAGCCTGCTCCCCACCCACTCGTTCTCTTACGTGCCATGCCACTCTATGCCACCCCACGCCACCACATGGCACCCCACGCCACCACATGGCACCCCACCCGTGCCAACCCCGTGCTCCCTTGTTCCCCCCATCCCCTCACCTCGCCTGCAGAAGTTCATTTTTGAGCCCGTGCGACTCAACGCCTCCTCCTCTTCCTCCGCCTCTGCCTCTTCTCCTGCTGCCCCTGCTGCTATTGCCCCTGCTGCCACCGCTGCCCCTCATGCCGCTGCTTCTGCTGCCGCTGCTTCTGCTGCCACTGCTGCCGCGTGCACATGTCACCATGCGCCCACAGCGGAGCCATGGGAGCAGTCGGAGGGGGCGGTGCAGCTGCTGCCCTTCCTCGCTGCCGCTGCCCCCTCTGCTGTGGGCGAGTTCCTACCCACCCTCGCACAGCTGGTATGTGTGCCCCTTCACCTTCCACGCTGTGTGCCCCTTCACCTTCCACGCTCAACACTTCACTGCATCCACTGCAATGCACACACCATGTTTCCCACCTACCGTTCATCCCGCTGCTGTGGGCAATTTCCTCCCCACCCTCGCCCACCTGGTCTGTGTGCCCCTCGCCCACCTGGTCTGTGTGCCCCTCGCCCACCTGGTCTGTGTGCCCCTCGCTCACCACCCTTGCTCTTGCGGTCCTGCACTGCACACGCCACTCCTTCGTGCTGCTACTCGTGTCCTGTTTTCCATGCTATGCCATGCCATGCCATGCTGTGCCATACTATGCCATGCCATGCCATGCTGTGCCATACTATGCCATGCCATGCCATGCTGTGCCATGCCATGCCATGCCATGCTGTGCCATGCCATGCCATGCCATGCCGTGCCATGCCATGCCATGCCATGCCGTGCCATGCCATGCCATGCCATGCCGTGCCATGCCATGCCATGTCATTCCATGTTGTGCTTGTTTGTACCTATTTGTTGACTCCCCCCCCCCACTCTCTCAACCCATCACCACCGCACCCTACATCCACCAGGCGGGTTCACCAGCAGCAGCAGCCCACCCAGCTCTCCTAGTCACCATCATGCGCCACCTGCCGCGCATCGCTAAGGTCACTCCTTCCCCCCTCTCCCGCCACCACAACCATGCCTGTCTGCGCACTGCCTTTCTGCTCACTGCACTGCCCACCCATGCTGCCATCACACACTCCCCACCACACTCTCTTTTTCAAGGCATCCCACTCCAATTGCTCACTCTCTCACTCCTTCCTGCTTCCTTCTCACCCTCATGCTCCTCCCCTTTCCCCATACGCCCTCTCCCCATGCACCGTCCCCTTGCGCCCACTCCCCATAACCTCCTCCCCCCTCCCCCCAGCCAATGGGCAAGCGCCAGTTCAAGGCGCACCTCACCGCCCTCGCTTGCTGCCCCTCCCTCCCCATGCGCCCCCCTCCCCTTCCCTCCCCTCCCCATGTGCAGCCAATGGGCAAGCGGCAGTTCAAGGCGCACCTGGAGCTCTTCCTGCCGCACCTCTTCACCGCCCTCGCCTCTCACCAGGTCCCTCTGCCACCTCGCTCCCTGCTCACCATCCCCCCTTGCTGCTCGCTGCACCCTTTTCTCTCTTTCTTAATCGCTTCCCACCTGAATTTTCCATGCATCGGCGCGCTTCCGCCCTCTGCCGCTCAAGCATTGTTTCTCCCACTCCTCCGCTGCTAATTCTCCCCTCTTCTCCGTCCCTTCCCCCCACCGCTTCAGCCGGAGGCGGCAGCAGCAGCGGGTGTGGCAGTGGCGGAGCTACAGCTGCTCATAGGGCCCAGCATCTTTGAGGGCAGGCTGTCCCCAATACAGAGAGAAGCCATGACTCGTTACAAGCACCTCATTCACCTGCGTCCCCAGCAGTCCGGTGAGCCTGCAATGCCACCCCATGCCCACCATCGGCCTGGGTCGTGAGGCCTCGGTGGGGGGCATTGGATGGAGCATTAGCATTCTGAATCACTTCACTCGCATGTTCTAGCATGCTTTATATTACAGCGACATTTTGGGTGCGTGGTATGGTTAAATAATTATGTGTGACTTCTATAACCTTATCGATTTTGCCTCGACAAAGAGTCCAATAGGCGGTTCGTCCAAGGGTGTCTCCCCCTCGATTTTCGCCCACTCGTCGCTGACTCGTTCGTGACTGGTCAGTGTGGATTTGACGAGTGTCCATGCGTGCTGCTGCGTCAGCACTGCCCATGTCACTCGCATAACAAACCAATCGTATCGCATCACGAGCTCTCACAACACGAACACGCCACGTGGATTGAACCAGGGGCAACTCGGCAAGCGCGCCTCGTAAGCAGAGCCTAGTCATCCCATCCCATGCCCTTTGCTCGCCCCTACGCTCGTTGTGAGTGAGGCACAAGCAAGCAGGCAAGCCCTCGTCATGGAATCGCGGCCAAGCATTACTCGACCTCGCGCACATATGCCATGGGTGCGGACTGCACGGCGGTAAGGGATTGCGGCCAACTTCCGTGGTTATTTCTGCGCTGCAGTGGGGAAAGCTGACAAAAAGGGCCCAAGAAGAGAAGAAAAGAGGGCACGCAGGGAAGAAACGTCAGTGGAAAGTCGCTTTTGCTGAGGCACCACCTTACCAGGGAAGGAAACGTCCGTTGAACGCAACTCACGTTGGCCCCCCTCGCCGGCCTCGCCGTCTTCCCCGCCCGCGCGGCCCTCTCACACAGCCGTCTGACTGCACGTCGAGTTGAACGCGCCGGCGCAATCCCGTACGATTGCTGCCACGTGTAGAGCCCAGCGCTCGCACCGTCCGTAACGCTCGACGCAACGCTCTTAGCGGAACATTTCCTAGCGGAGCCTCTCTTAGCGGACCGCCTCTTAGCGAACATCTCGTTCGCCGCGCCCGTCTGCTCCCTTCGCGGTCGTTCTCATGGCTTCGCACGCCCCTTGCGACGCGTCGCAACCACCGCAGCGACAAACGGCGGCACAGATGAGCGATGCGGTGAGCGACGCTGTGCGATGGTGCGCGAACGCGGGCGACATGGAGTGCGCGCTGTTTCTGATGTCGCGAATGAAGCAACGCGGCGTGCGACTGAGCGACGCCTGGTGAGAGCTGCTCGTTGCTGTCCTTCCTTCCGTGCCTCACTTCCCTGCCTTCCTTCTCGCGCTGTTTCCCTCCCTTCTCGCGCTGTTTCCCTTCCTTCTCGCGCTGTTTCCCTTCCTTCTCGCGCTGCTTCCTCGCCTTTTCGCTGCCCTTCGCCTTTGCGCTGCCCTTTCGCCTTTGCGCTGGCCCGTCGCCCTTTGCGCTGCCCGTCGCCCTTAGCGCTGGCCGTCGCCCTTAGCTTGCGCCATACCGGCTCGTGCTGCCTTCCTCCTCGTGCTGCCTTCCTCCTCGTCGTTCGGCCCAATGCTGCAACCACCACTACCAATGTGTTGTACTTGCTCGGCTGAAGCAGAGCGCGTACTAAGGAAAGAGCACGTGCATCCCTGAGACGCTATAAGATGGAAACACGTCGCGCTCGAAGCATCAAGGGCAATGCGCTGTTGAGGCGTCAGAAGGAAGGGATGGGTTATGAATGAAAGAAGGGATGGATGATGAATGAAAGAAGGGATGGGTTATGAATGAAAGAAGGGATGGATGATGAATGAAAGAAGGGATGGATGATGAATGAAAGAAGGGATGGATGATGAATGAAAGAAGGGATGGATTATGAATGAAAGAAGGGATGGATGATGAATAAAAGAAGGGATGGATGATGAATGAAAGAAGGGATGGATGATGAATAAAAGAAGGGATGGATGATGAATGAGAACATGGTGCATTTGAAGCATCAAATCACATCACCGCACGTTTATCTCCGTGCAGTGCTGATTCCACAGCGCCCCCGACGCTCTCCTTTCCCTGCTCGCATTCACCTCCCTCCTTCCAGCCGCCCCATCCTCTCCCCATGCCCCTCCCCGTGCCCTTCCCCGTGCCCTTCACGCCCCCGTCCCCCTTCAGTCTCGATCTCTTCTTCTGCCCCGGCGACGCTCCCCACTGCCCCTCTTCGCCGCCCTCTTCGCCGCCCTCTTCGCCGCCCTCTTCCCGCTCCCCGCCTCGCCTGCCGCCTGCTCCTGCCTCGCCCCCATCCCATTCCACCCACCCCTCCTCTCCGCCCCAGTCCTGCTCGCTTTCCCCCTCATCCCCCTCCTCCGCCTCTCCCCTCTCTGCTCCCTCCAACTCCCCCACTTCCGCCTACCCATCTCCCTCTCCGTCCCCCGCCTGCCCCTCCCCCTCCCACTCCTCCGCCTGTCTCTCCCCCGTGCACCCGTCCAAGTGGCGGAGGCAGCAGCAGCGCAGGAGGCACACCATCCTCCTTCACCCGCCCACGCCGCACTCCCTCTGCCACTCCCACCTCGTTCGCGCGCCTCCCCCGCCCCCTGCTCCCTGCCGCACTGCTGCTGCTGCTCACAAGGGCGGTGCTATTGGGGCGGCGCATGACAGCCAATTGCACGCTGCCACGTCTGAGTTGAGCAGGGACAGCAGCAGCACCAGTTCCCCCAGCAGCAGCAGTCCCTTCCTCTATCCGTCCCCCTCCTCCTCCTCCTCACTCTCCTCCTCCTCCCTCCCCCTCCCTCTCGTTCACAACTTTGACACTGCTGACTCGGCATGCTCGCCAGCGTGGCGCCATGCCACGTGTCAGGCAGAGCAGCATTCCGCGGGCGGCTGGAAGGACGTGCCAGGGGAGGTCCTATTGGCCATTCTCGACCGCACTGACAACCGCACACTGCTGTGCGCTGCGGCTGTCTGCAGGGGATGGGCCGCTGCTGTGTTCGGCCTAACAGCCCAGCTGTCCCTCGATTGGTGAGCTACCTGCTCTGCACGAGCTGACTTTTGAGTCGACTCAAAAGAGGCGCCTGCTCTGCACGTGTGTGTGTTGTGTTGTGGTCTGAGGCACTTGGATTGGAATTTGGGTGTTGATAATGTTCTAGTCGACTCATGCCAGTGGTTTAAGGCACTGAGGTTGCCCACTTTTGAAGTCCCGAGCTGCTGATTCCATGCCAGAGTTGCTTTACCCATGCCCGACCTGCTTACCCCATGCCCGACCTGCTTACCCCATGCCCGACCTGCTTACCCCATGCCCGACCTGCTTACCCCATGCCCGACCTGCTTACCCCAATGCACTATCATTTTCCTCACTCGAGCCTTCCCTCCCCTGTGGCGGATACCTGCTTATTCCATACCTGTGCGTGACGTGAGACCACACAGGTGTACCAAGAGCGTCAACTCGCTGGCCTCTCACCTTGTGCCCCTCTTTGCACGCCTGCAAGTGAGTGTTAAGCCACGCACACACACCCGCACACACACCCGCACCCTCACACACACACCCACACACACCCTCTCGCACACACGCGCACACACACACTGTTCAACTTTTCACTCGCAACCTCATTCACACCCTCACTCACTCGTTCGCACAGTAACCATGCTCGCTCACGGCCGCCCCTTGGCCTTCCCCATCCACCCATTCTCCCCATCCACCCATCTCCCCATCCACCCATCCCCCATCCCATTCTCCCCATCCACCCATTCTCCCCATCCACCCATTCTCCCCATCCACCCATTCTCCCCATCCACCCATTCTCCCCATCCACCCATTCTCCCCATCCACCCATTCTCCCCATCCACCCATTCTCCCCATCCACCCATTCTCCCCATCCACCCATTCTCCCCATCCACCCATTCTCCCCATCCACCCATTCTCCCCACCCATTCTCCCCATCCACCCATTCTCCCCATCCACCCATTCTCCCCATCCACCCATTCTCCCCATCCACCCATTCTCCCCATCCACCCATTCTCCCCATCCACCCATTCTCCCCATCCACCCATTCTCCCCATCCACCCATTCTCCCCATCCACCCATTCTCCCCATCCACCCATTCTCCCCATCCACCCATTCTCCCCATCCACCCATTCTCCCCATCCACCCATTCTCCCCATCCACCCATTCTCCCCATCCACCCATTCTCCCCATCCACCCATTCTCCCCATCCACCCATTCTCCCCATCCACCCATTCTCCCCATCCACCCATTCTCTCCACCATTCTCCCCACCATTCTCTCCGCACCGTTCTTTGCTGCTGCCCTCTTCTCCATGCACTCGCTTTGAAAGCCACTTGTTGTGCCGCTTTCCTGACCATGTCCCCCTTCCCCCCTCTCCTCTCCTCCTCCCCCTCCTCCTCCTCCTCCTCCTCCTCCTCCTCCTCCTCCTCCTCCTCCTCCTCCTCCTCTTCCTCCTCCTCTTCCTCCTCTTCCTCCCCCGCTCTCCGCTCACACCAACCCCTCCCACCAGGTGCTCAATCTGCGGCGCTGTCCATCTCTAAGGGATGCCACGCTGGCAACCATCGCCTCCAGCTCACCCATGCTGACGTGTCTGCTCCTCAGTGGCTCCCCACTCATCACCGACACGTCACTGCACGCACTCGCCTCCCACTGCCCCTCGCTGCAGGTATGCGTGCACTTCACTCGCGTCTCACCCCTCGCCTCCCATTGCCCTGCGTTTTTCTCTGCCATCCTTGCATCTCGCTGCCGCTAGCTCCACTGCCCGCCTCATTCCCCACTCCCCCTCCATGCCACATACGCCTCCCCACCCCCTCCGGCTCCCAGGTGTTGGATCTGAGTGCGTGCAGCGCCATCTCCCCCGCGGGCATTACAGCACTGGCAGAACACTGCACGCAGCTGAGAGAGCTCTCCCTCTGTGGCTGCCGCCATGCCGCAACCGACCATGGTCTCCTGTGCGTGTGCTCTGTTTGTTGCAGCTGTGCAAACGCTATTTAGATAAATTGTAGTTTAAAGCGCAACGGGTGTTTGGTCTAGTGGCATGATTCTCGCTTAGGGTGCGAGAGGTCCCGAGTTCAATTCTCGGAACACCCCCTTTTTTTGATGCTGTATGTTTCAAGTATTACTCGTGATGTCAGTTGCTTTGTCCTTCCCACTGTGAACCCTCCTCCCTTGTCCGCCACCCTCCTTCTCCCCATTCTTTGTCCCCAACGCACTAGCCCAAGGGTGCGAGTGGCTGCAGGTGGGGCATCCAGACTAGTGTTTCCACCTATGTCGTTTGCACCGCTCCTTTCCCGCCCCATCCCTCCCTACTTCCCTCTCCCCCAGGCGCTAGCGCAGGAGTGCAAGTGGTTGGAAGTGGTGAATCTGGGGTGGTGTGAAGGCGTCACGGACCATGGGGTCACAGCTGTGGCCAGGGGGTGCCCGGGGCTCAGGGTGGTGGACCTCTGTGGCTGCTACCGCATCACAGGTATGTTCTGAGTTTATTATGGTATTGAGGTGTCTAGAAGATATGCTTTTAGCGGACTGAAGGGACACGGGTGTAGGCTGGAGACACTGGCCATGGGAATCATTTTAAGGTCGACTCATCAAATGGCTCATGCTGCAGCATGAGTCTTCGTGTAGCAAGGAGGGCCTTGGGATTGCGAGCACGGGTGGTCCCAACAAGGCATTTGCTCTTTTCCGCACACACAATACCGTAAGCTGCCCGGCACTTGTGCCCCTCCTTGTGCTCACACGTCCATCCCTCACACCGCTCTGCTGCCCTGCTCCTCTCCCATTCTCCTCCTCGACTCCGCCCCTCAATGACCAAGTTGACTTTTGAGTCGACTCAAAAGTCAAATGACCATCCCACCACATTCCATGAGAAACAATGCATCCTCTTCCTCCCACCCTCCTCACCCCTCATCGTTCCGTGTGCCCATCAGACGCCTCGGTGGTGTCCGTGGCATGGCAGCGCACTGCCCGTTGCTGCTACTAGAGGGCCTGGGGCACTCCACTAGGAACAGAGCAACATCCCTTCTAATCCATCCGCCCTCCATGCCCGCCTCCCTCCCTCCACCCCATGCCGCCCATCACACGCATCAGTGGTGTCACTTGCAGTGCTCTGCGTCTTGCTGCAGGGCTTGTTGCACTCTACTAGCCACAAATCCATCTGCTCTCCCTCCTGCCCCCCTCCACCTCATCCATGCCTCCCATCAGTCGTGTCAGTGGTGTCACTGGCAGTGCACTGCCCATTGCTGCAGGGCCTGGGGCACTCTACTAGCCACAAAGCATCCTCCTTCAATCCATCTGCCCTCCATGCCCGCCTCCCTCCCTCCACCCCCTTGCCGCCCATCAGATGTGTCAGTGGTGTCACTGGCAGTGCACTGCCCCTTGCTGCAGGGCCTGGGGCTGCACTGCTGCCGCCAGCTCACCAGCCACGCCATGCTGGCACTCGCTGACAGTGCGGCTGCCACGCGGCACCGCCATGCTGGCAAGCACGGATCCCCAAAATCGCCGCTCAAAGGAGCGTGTGGGGGGCTCGCTGCAGTGACACAGGGCACGAGGAGGAGTGTCCCTCCCAAGTTGACCCTACCTGCCACGCCTCGCATGTGAGTAGCAGCATCACCCCTTCTGCTCCTGCCTTCTTCTCCTGGTGCCTCCGATTCTGACAGCAAAAGTGTTTGCAACGGCGGGACGGTGTACCTATGCTGCTCTTCGCATCAACACCTCTGCTGCAATGCTCCATGCCATGCATACCGTGATGCATACCGTAATGCATGACCATAGCATGGACACACGTGTGCTGCGTGCCTTGCCACCACCACTCACATCCTCACTCTCCCCTCTCCTCATCTGAATCCACTCATTGATGGCCACAACCTCCACCTCAACCCCGAAACCCTCTCCCCCTGATGTGGTCCGCCCGTCCCCATCCCCACCCCTCAGGGGTGACGCCATCACAGTGCTCTACTCGCGCCCGCCACATGGCGCACACGGATTGGTCTCACTCAACATCAGTGGCTGTCTGGCCATCTCCCCAGCAGCCCTGCAGGCAGTGTGTGACGCGCACCCCCACCTGCACACCTGCCCTGGCCGCCGCTCCCTCAACACCAGCGGCTGCATTGCCCTGCAGCCCGTGCACTGCCGCTGTCACCGTGTCTCTGCTGCATGATTGCTCTCTCACCTGTTGCTGCCAGCAATCTCCCCTTCAGCCCTGCAGGCAGTGTGTGACGCACACCCCCACCAGCGCTCCACACCAGCGCTGCATTGACTCTATAACCCGTGCACTGGCGCTAGCCCCGAGCCTCGCTGCCTGACTGCCCGCTCTCGCATTCACCCGTGGGATGCCTGCATTTTCAGTGCCCACACAGCCTGCTCTCTCACCTGTTGGGTGCCTTGCTCAAGCAACAGAAGTGCTTACTCTACCACCATTCTGTTTGTGGAAGTGATGGAGCACAGCCGCTGAGTGCCTATGCATCTGTACATGTTCTATCGCACGAATTTGCTGTGTAGATACTGTACTGCATTTGCCAAGGGTTCTTACTGCTTGACAAGAGGTAGTGCACAGCAATTGAACCCTGTGATGGTTCTGACTGATCTTGATGGTTCCATGCATCTCTGAGTGAGAGGCCCATACACAGCCCCTTACCATACGTTAGCTGAGTGTTGAGAAGGAAATATAATTCATTGCGCTTTTGCAGGCGTATAAAAGTCTAGCATTGTCCGGGTATGACTACCAGGTATCACCTAAGCAGTATCTTAGTTCACCAATCCCCTAGGCAGCGGTCTTGGGCTTGAGCTCCTTGATCACCTCCCACGTGAAGTCGGGGTCGTCGCGGCCGAAGTGGCCGTACGCGGCCGTCTTCTGGTAGCGTTGGTTGCCGCCCTTCTTCAGGTCCAGGTTGATCGAGATCATGCCTGGCCGGAAATCAAACGCCTCCTTCACTAGCTCGAGAATCTCCTTATCGGGGATCTTGCCCGTCCCGTACGTGTCCACGAAGATCGACAGCGGCTCAGGCACACCGATGGCGTAAGAGACCTGCCAGAAGGATAGTCGGAGGATGGGGTTGGAGTTAGCACAAGATCGAGGAATTCGCAACAGTATCCGCTAAAACTTGGTACTTGGTGCTGATCCACAAATCCATCAAAGTTCATTTGCATCATCAACCGGGTGCGGGTGGTGTGTGACGTGGATCTGTTTCTTCGGGGTGGACACGAAACAGATACCACATAATTCAGTCCAAGTGTCTTAAACCCTACAGCCGTCCATCGATTCTCACCTGCACGAGCGCGCGCCTGGCGAGGCCGGCAGCGACGATGCTCTTGGCGGCCTGGCGGGCGACGTACGCGCCGGAACGATCCACCTTGGTGGGGTCCTTCCCGGAGAAGGCACCACCTCCGTGCGCGCCCCACCCGCCGTACGTGTCGATGATGATCTTCCGCCCGGTGAGACCGGCGTCTCCGTGGGGACCGCCGATGACGAAGCGGCCGGAGGGGTTGAGGTGGAAGATGGTGTTGTCGTCGAGGTACTTGGCGGGGATCACGGGCTTAATCACGTGCTCCTTAAGATCCGCCGCGATCTTCTCGTTGGTGACCGTCTCGTCGTGCTGCGTGGAGATGAGCACCGTGTGCACGCGGATCGGCACCATCGCGCCGCCCTCGTTCTTGTACTCAACGGTCACCTGCGTCTTGCCGTCGGGCCGCAGCCACGGGCACACGCCGTTCTTGCGCACCTCCGTGAGCTTCGCGCCCAGCTGCGTGGCGAGCACGTGCGTGAGCGGCATGAGCTCAGGGGTCTCGTCGGTGGCATAGCCGAACATGTGGCCCTGGTCGCCCGCGCCGATCTCCTCGGGCTTCTTGGTGCCCATGCCGTGCACGCCCTGCCCAATGTCGGGGCTCTGCTGCTCGATGTTGATCAGAACCTGCAGATTCCACCACGTAGTGAATCGTCAGAACGTATCCCGCTAAGTGACATTACGCGACGCTTACCAAGTCAGCGGATCCGTGAAATCTTCAAGGAAAAATAAAAGCGAAGAAAATATGTACATAGAAAAACAAACGGTGTTGTAAGGAGGGCGTACATTGCACTTGTCGCAGTCAAGGCCGACGTCGTCGGAGACGAAGCCGATGTTCCTGACGGTGTCGCGCACGATCTTCTCATAGTCGAGCTTGGCCTTGGTGGTGATCTCACCAAAGATCATCACCATGTTGGTCTTGGTGCACGTCTCGCACGCCACCTTGCTGTCGGGGTCTTGCTCCAGGCACGCGTCGAGAACGGCATCGGACACCTGTAGATCCACACGCACACAACCAAGAACGCGCACACGCGTACATGAACGCAGAAGCCAGCTTAATGAACCCGTACTCGACTTCTCAAGAAGCTGAATCCAGATTCTTCGGTGAAACGAGCGAGCTAATGGACTTCATGCCATTTCTCGGAGAAAACTGAATTTACCTGATCGCAAAGCTTGTCCGGGTGTCCCTCGTTCACGGACTCGGAGGTGAACAGGAAAGTTTCCGTGGCCATGGCTGTGAATTTGGAGAAGACAAGCTGAATCTGTGGCCTATGGACAGAGGGAAACTGAAGCAAACTCTAGACACTGAATGAAACTTGAATTCGGATTCATTTTATCATCACGCTACTGAGGGGTTTCCTTGGCGACAGCGCAAAGCTCGATGAGCGACAGATCAATTCCCGATGGGCGACGCCATCACCGAACATTGTGCGATGGGGTGACTGCGAGGGGACGGAGGACGGATGGCGGGAAAATGGAACCGCGGGATTGTCAATCGTCCCTGGGATCGCAGGCCACGATAGACGCGGGAGGTCATCTTGACCGTCCGATACCGTCAGGCTGAAGTCCCAGGAGGGCCAGCTGATCATCGGTGCGTGCGAGCGCAGCATGCCTCTCGAATCACGATTCGCCAGGTCACTTTCGGCGGAAGGTGATACCACAGCCACCACTTTTCGCGAAACCCCACACTTCGGGGAAATGTGAATCGTTCGGTGTACCTAGTCCAGAGGTAAACGGAATAAAAAAATGATGTACAATGCTTCAATAACTTTTTTATCACTCATCACCCTCACAACTGTACAATTCTAGACAACTATATGATCATGCATCCCTTCCACCCAGGTTCTGACTCCACTGCACAGAAGGATATAACGGGTGACCTATCTATAACTGTTAATAGTGTAACCAGAACATGTGCTCCCCTAATGTGCGGTCTTGCTTTGCAGTCCATCCAGCAACTGGTTAGCCTGCAGCAGAAGTAAGACATTGTTGGGAAACAAACATGAGATCACCATTGCACTTCTAGACGTACACTTGGGTTGGGTTGGTTGCCATAGCAGCCACTGCCACACACATAAAGACACCCCATCACCCCCAAATCCCGACTACTACAAACCTCAGAACATTCCATCACCCATTCATGACCCATCAAATCAACCTACCATGAGTCGGGCTCTTGACGACCCGCGATGCCTCATCTTGCGCAGCACCAGCAGCGCACCCTCCTCCAGCATCTCCTGCCGTGCACCCTCCTCCTCCACCACTCTCAACAGTACCGCCCCCACATCCTTCTGCACCCTCCTCCACCGCTGCTGCTCCCCTGCGCTGCTTCCCATACTCCCCCCTCCTCCCCCTCCTGCCCCTTCCTCTGACACGGCACTCAGCTCTGCCAGAGAAGCCATGGATGGGGATACCCCCAGCGCCGTGCAGCTCGCCCCTAGCAGCTCCACCAGCGGTGGTATACCACCGGCGGCAACGATCTGCCTGCTGCCCTCCTTGACCTGCGCCAGCCGTGCCAGCACGGCTGCTGCTTTCTCCTCCAGGCCCAGCCGCATCCCCCCCTCCTCCTCCTCCAGCATCCGCACTAAAGGACAAACGGCGCCGGCCGCGATGATGGACGGCACGAGGTCGGCGCAGAGGGAGAGGTTGAAGAGCGTGAGGGCGGCGTCCTTGCGGCCACGCAGGGAGAGGGCGGGCGAGGGCGGCAGCATGTGGACCAGGCCGACGATGGCGCCTGCAGTGGCCGCCACCCGCCGCCGCATTGCGTCCAGGTCGCATCCAAAGGGATTCAGAGCGGTGCTGGAAGGTTCAGGAGGAGCCAGGTTGGGGTTTGAGGCAGAATTTCCAGAGAGGGCTGGCTGGGAGTTCTCCTCTTGTAGGGAAGAGGAGGAGGAGGAGAGGAGGGCGAGATGGGCAGTGGAGAGGGAAGGGCCGGTGAGGGAGGAGGTGGAGGAGGAGAGAGAGGTGGAGTGTGCCGAGGAGAGGGAGGGGGGAAGAGGGGACGAGGTGAGCATGAATAGGGCGGCAGCTGCATTCTCCCGTGCCTCCTGCGACACCACTGACAGCACCCCGCCCCAATTTGCTGCCCCCACTGATCCTACTGACCCATCTTCACTCGCTGTGCACGCCCCCTCCTCTCCTGTGCGGGACCCTTGGCACCCGTCTCCCCCTCCCCCCTCTCCATCACCATCACCACCACTGCTGTCATCACGGCCACGAGGGCAGCAGGGGCGAGCCACGAGGCGAGAGAGCGCGTCCACAGCGCCCTCGGCCAGCAAGGCGCCGTGAGTGGCGGGCGACAGCGACAGGTTCAGCAGCGCGGTCACCGCGTGCCCCACTGCCTCCCGCGCACTCTCCCTCCGCGCACTCTCCCTCCGCGCGCTCTCAGCGCTCGCTGCCCTGCGCACCTGCTCCCCCCCTTCCGCTGCCTCCGCCCTTTCCGCCGTTTCGGCCTCCCCGGCCTCCGCTCTACCCGCCACCATCGCCCCGCAGGCTGCTGCACTTTTCCCGCCCACTGTCCCCGACCGATCTCCGCGCTCCGCCTCACCTAGAGACCGCGCTGTCCCCCCAAATGGCCTTTCCCCTTCGCTCCTCTCCGCCTCGCCTGTTGTGTTTCCTCCGCGCGCTTTCCGCCCCTCAGCTCCCCGGATCCGCGCGCTCTCCGCCAGCAGCAGCGCGTCCGCCACCCCCACGAGCGCGCCAATGGCGCCCGGCACAGCCGCCACGATGCTGCGATTCGCGTCGCTGCTCTTCACCAGCAGCCGAACCGCGCGCGCTGCCGCCGAAACCGCCGCCAATCCTTCAGCGCCTCCCGCGCATTCCGCTCTTCCCTCTCCGCCGAGCACAATCTCTTCCTCCCCGCGGCTTTCTGCCACATCCGCGCAAAGCGGTTGCGCCAGCTGTTGCGCCGCCCGCCTTACCGCGCGCAGTTCCCCCATGAGGTGCGCAACCATTCCGCGCACCTCCCCCTCCATGCGCAGCCGCTGCTGCTCCGCCTCTTCCCATCGCCGCGCCTCGTGCTCCCACTCCAAATTTCTCCCCGTTTTCCGAGTTCCCCCCGGCGAAGTGTGCGGCCTCTCTCCCTCCCGCACCCCGCAGTTTCCGCCAATAGCCGCCCAATTGGAGGGGCTGGGCGTGACGATAAGCGCGCCGGTTTGTAGCGAGTAGGCGCATTGCAGAGTGCGGGGAGACAGGGCGCTAGAAAACGACAAATAAGTGCCGCCCGGAGTTCGTTGCATGCCAGCCTCGGAGTTTGTTGGCGAAACGGCGAAATCCGAGAAATGCGCCGGAGAATGCGGAACTTCCACGCGCACAGCCGCGCGGTGTGAAGGGAGAAACGAGGCGTCGCTGGAATGCGCGGCGCGCAATTTGCGAGGCGCGGCGGAACCGTTCTTAGGCGACGTCGGGGCTTCGAGGCTCTTCCACATGTCCATAATTTCCGGCGGTGACGTGGCATCGGCAGATGCGGCAGATTCTCGGTAACCGGAACCCCCCGTTCGAAAAGGGGAACCCGCGGCGCTAAATGCGGAGTGTGGTGCTGACGTGGATACGCTGCTGGACAGGTCGGATGATGACGTAAGTCCTGCTACATTATGGCCGATCGGGACGCCGAATGACGTCACCGACGGCTCCACCTCCCTTGCTGCTAATCTCGCGCGCGACGCACCCCCGATACATGCGCCTTCCGCCTTTCCCTTAAGTGATAGTAGCGGAGTTCCATCGTCGTCTCCCCGCACTTGCTGCGCTGGCTCCGCCGGCTTCTCCGCGCCCGCTGCTGCGGGTTGCGCATCTCCGCGCGTGCTGCTCTCCGTGTCGGTATCGTCGCCGTAGAACGAGTGCGTGGCGGGGTTGCGGCAGCAGATCAGCGACCACACGCGCCGGTGGTGCGCGCCGTGCGGTATGGACGACGAGGAGGTGACAGCCATGGTAGCGCCTAACATGGATTTATGGGGGGTAATAGCTCTAACTTGCAAGAGTCTTGAATTGCGAGCTCTTGTTGACGACGAGTGAGTGGTTGGGGCTAGGTTTGGTGTGGTCAAGTTGCTCTACAGAAACTGGTTCGGGCCAAACCTCTTTTATGCTTGGTGAAATTGGCATGGCAGTTTGGCGGTGTTGAGGTTTTCACTGGTTTTCCAGGGTCATGCCGAGGTTTAGTACGTTTTTACGTGGTGTAGGGAGATGAAAGCAAAGCCGGCACGTGCAACGTTTGGTCGAGAAAGAGTTTCCATGGGCACCGTGTGTGTGAACTTGCCACGATCTTCTTTGGTCTGGTCTGGTATGGATTCGGACAGCGTTACACGACGAAATTTGTTCAGTTACTAGAAACTGTACACCCATCGTCTTTAATCACAAATAAGTTCACTCACTCCCATGGACAGTGATGTATAGAACAGTATTGTGAGATTAAAGATATTCAGCACTTCAACCTGCAGATTATTGATCTGCGGCTGACCTTAGTCCTCTGTCGTATGCATGTGGCTGGTGCCAAGCAGTGAGCGATGTGGCTCGGTTGGGGGTGGCAGGTGAGGAGCGGATGTTTGAGGAGTTTTTCCGCACGCCCGAGGCTACGACCTTGTTGGACCCCTGGTTTGCGAGAGCAGTGGATCTGCTTCCACAGTCGGTTCGGCAGGAGATGCCACCCCTTGCCTTGTGCACCGCTGATCCGCCTATGCTGCTCTTCCCCACACAACACCGTCGCCTGGCGGTTGAGAGCCTCCAATCTCTTCGAGGCATGGCCCACAACGATGCCACCCTGGCCCGTTTGACATCCCTTCAGGGCCCGGGGGCTGGGGCGTGGGTTTCTGCCGTTCCTTCGCACGAGGAGGCTACCTTCACCGCAGCCGAGTGGAGCATCTGCGCGTCCATGCGCCTAGGCCTCCCTATTCAGCAGCTGATAGTGGCCGGCAAGTGCGCGTGTGGGTTTGAGTTTGCTGATCCCTCTGACCCGCATCATGCCCTTCGCTGCAAGTATCAGTATGCACCTTCTCGGGTTCACGATGCGGTTAAATTTGTGGTGGCGAAGATAGCTAAGGGTGCGGGTGGGATTGTGACCATGGAAGACGACACGTTGCTCCCAGGGAAGAGGGTTGATGTGGCGGTTCGGAAACTGAGGGAGGGGGAGGAGCACGCGCTGGAGGTTAGTGTGGTAGATCCTATCTCGCTATCCGCGCAGCACCATGGACAGATTGGTCGCAAGGTGGGTTTTGCCGCGAGAGAGAGAGAAAAGCGGAAGACGGCGGACTACAAATCGCTTCTACAGCGGCATGGGGGAGTGCAGTTCACACCACTCATTGCTGAGACATGGGGATGCTTGGGGGGGAGTTTTGGACGGTGGCTTAAGAAGCAGGGTGACGCGCAGATCGAGATAGCAAAGACGAAAGGGGCGGCGCGAGCTACGGGAAAGGGTTTCTCGGCTTATTTGCTCGGATCGCTCAAAGCGGCTGTGGGTGTGGCTTTGCAACGGGCTCAGGCGCGTGTGATCTTGTTACGCGCTGCGTCGATGATGAGAGGCCCAGAGGCTGTTTGGGTGGAGCGGGAGGATGTTGAGGAGGAGATGGGATGGGATGCTCCGTGGGCGGATGCACCATACTTGGTAGACATGCGGGTTTAGGGAGTGGGTTTAGGGGGGGAGGTTTGGTTCGATGGGAGTGCAGTTGGGGTGCTTTGATGGGAGGGCTTGATGGTGTTTTAAATGTGTGTGCTATTGGGGTTTTCTTGGGGTTGTGTGTGCTACTTTTTCTTCCTTCTTCCCTGTTTTTCTTCCTCCTATCATTTTTCCCCTATTCCCCTCCTCCTTTCTTCCTCTCTCCTTTTTTCTACTCACGTTATTCCTCCTTTTCTCCTCTCTTCCCGTTTCCACTCCTTTTCCTTGCGTAATTATGCTACATTGTAACAGATAGTACCTAACTCCATTGCCTATACAAGCCCTAAGGAAGCATTGAACCGTGCATTGCACACATGTGCGCTCGTGCGTGCGTTTATATATTTGTATAATACTACTCAAAATGGGATTGGTAAAAAAAAAACAAAAACAAAATCCAGAACTAGTAATATACCTAAAAGAGTAATTGCCATTACGGGGTACAGCCTGCGACCATTCAGCGGCGATTGATCGCCTCCGATGGGCGAGTAGAGAAAACCCATCGTACGCAACGCAACGCAGTGGCGGAGATTCTCGCCATGACCACCAGATGCAAGAAGCTGGTGAATCATTCTCTTGGGTCAAAATTATCACACGTCTGTTTTACTGTACAGAACAGGTAATTGAGAGGCTTTAGAGAAATGGAATTTCATTTCTGGTCAGATGCATAACAATGCAGTCGCCACAAATATCTAACTTTCGTTGCTGACTCATCAATTGTGGTACAGTTTCTGCGAGGGCGGAAGGCGGGAAGCGCGTGTCTGACGTGCACCCACTGTCGCCTGCGACAGACTTGGAGAGCAAAGGGAGACGCGGACGTGCCAATGGGCGCCTGCGGCAGTGTAATATCGCATCCTGGAAATGGCGCACCGTGAAATTCCGAAACGAACTTCAGATCCCCATTTGCACAAGGTTGTAATCTGCAATGTTGCATTCCTGAAAATTTGACCCCTGTTGAAATGCATTCTTGCTGAGAGGATGATTGCAGAATTCCTGGCGCTGTGTCCACCACACCACAATCCAGTATTTGGAAAACACGGCCTTTCAACACGTACAGCCCCGGCTGTTTCGGCGCTTTTACCTTACGTCAGGCGAAATCGCGCGCATCGGCGAAAATCGCATTTGTCTCAATTGAATCGACCCAAATTGCTTCCCTTTGGCCACGTGGGCGTTTTTCTTAATTGGATGGAACCCCTTTCCCCCCGCCCCCCAACCCGTTTTTCCCGCCCTTCCCCTCCGAAATTAGGGCACCCGCTGGAATTTCGGGGAATCACAAACAGTCACAAATTCATGCTTTTTCGTAACGCTAAATTTTAAACATGCGAGCGACATCTAATTGTAGCGAAATGTCTTGGAGTGAATATTATGATAAACTCAAAATAATTATTTTTTAACTAATTCAAAAATTGTAACTAATTCGAAAATGATTAATTTTTATTTGCCTTGGAGTGAATATTATGATAAATTGGTAACATTTCGCTACAATTAGATGTCGCTCGCAGGTTGAAAATTTAGCGTTACGAAAAAACATGTATTCGTGACTGTTTGTGATTCCACGAAATTCCAGCGGTTGCCCGAATTTCGGAGGGGAAGGGCGGGAAAAACGGGTTGGCGGGGGCGGGGGGAAAGGGGGTCCATCCAATTAAGAAAAACGCCCACGTGGCGAAAGGGAAGCAATTTGGGTCGATTTAGTTGAGACAAACGCGATTTCCGCCGATGCGCGCGATTTCGCCTTCACGTCACCGTAAGCCGAGCGCGAGGGAAAGGCTGACAGATGCTCCAATTCCTGGTAAAAGGCAATCAGCTTATCCCGCGTAACACGCATCGCACCTGATGTCACGGCTGATACAGAGTCTATACTAAAGAGTCTAGGGTGGTCTGCGCCATGCCGCAATCTCGTTCTCGTAGTTGCTCGGCTTGTTGTCGCAGTGCCTTCGCGTGTGAGCATGTGATATACATGTAGTTATTCATTCGCTGCTGTCGTAGTTTCAATTCTTACCGCCTTGTCCGTCTCTACGGCATGTATTAAATCTCTCCATTTAGATAATCACTACTCCTTAGCCTGAAACGCTTATGCCGTATCAGAATAACCGTACCGTTAACTTAGCCACTCTCATCCAATCAGCAAGTGCCACATGGCACATCTGACGCACTTCACGCTGCAAGTCCACGCCGACCATGCCTCCTCCCCCTCCTCAGTCATGTCAACTCCCTCGATACTACCCGCCTCACCTTCCCTCCTCACCCTCTCGCAATTTCTCGCCGCGCCGCGCGATCGCGCCGTTTTTCTCACCGCGGTGCGGCAGCCGGCCGACGCCGCGTCGCCTTCGTCATCGGAGTACCTCATTCGCGACCACGCGGCGCCACGTACTTCCACGTCAGCAGAGCCGTATGCTGCGTCACCGTTCGGCCCAGGCGACTCGTTTCGAGTCGCAGGCGAGGTGGTGGGATGCGTGCGTGGGAACTATGGCGGCACGCATTTCATTCTAGCGTCATGCACGCCGCGGTCCACGGCGGGAAAAGATGGTACCACTAGCAGCGAACCGCACGGAACGGTTACCAACGATGGCGAAATACATCGAAGCAGCAGCTACGACGATGTTACAAAAAGCAGGTCACAGCGGAGTGCGGGCGATGAGCGAGGGCGGGCGCGGGGCCGTGGGGGAGGCGGAGAGAGGGAGGGGAGAGCGCGGAGCGCATCGGGGAAGGAAATCTCGCCGCCGCGCGGCGGAATCAAGAAAGCGGATGCTCCCGGCAAGGGCGGAAAGGCAGGCATAGATTCTAAATCTGGAAAGGGGTTTCGTCGCAAGAAGGGAAGATCGTTGTCGCATGGCGATTTTCTTTTCGCGAGAGGGTTGTCGCATGTCGACCGTGCGTCGTCCAGCCTCGCCGGTGGCGCCTTGATCGACGGCGATGCGCGTGTCTCTGAAAACTCCGACGCGTCTCCCCGGCACGTGGCTTCAGCGCAAGCGGCCTTCGCGCCGCTGCTGATCGGATGGCTGCCCGTAAAGAGCGGCAGGGGCGGCGGAACCGCGGGGGATGACGGCGCGAGAGGATGGGGCGGAGCGGGAGGAGCGGGGGCGCGGGGGATTGGGGGGCTAGGAGCAGCAGGGGGATGGCTGACGTGGAATGCGCGGCGCGGCTCAGGAAATGCGCGAGCGAAGGGCGACGACGAGCGGGCGGGCGACGAGCAGAGCGAGTCGCAGGAAGAAGCGACGCGGGGGAAAGCCTCGCAGCGAGAAGAGTCGCAGAGAGCAGAGTCGCAGAGGGACGAGTCGCAGGAAGAAGGGGAGAAGCGATTGACGGAGAAAGGCAAGCCGCAAGGCGTGTTCGGCGTATCCTGGGCTCAGGTACGACCGCGTCCCCTCTATACGCAGACTCGCTTTAGTGTATTTCACGTCGCCGTGTGGAAGACAGCGCGCGTAACGCCGTGCCCGCCCGTCGTCTCCCGCCCGCAGGTGGCGAGTGTTGCGGCGCGGGGGAGCACGGGGGCGCACGCGGGGGGAGAACGGCGGGAGGGGGGTGACAATAACGAAGGGGAAGCTGTGGGGCCTGGGAACGGTGTCGTGAAGGGCGGTGCAGGTGATTATAAAGGGAGTGCGAGTGGCAATGCTGCAGCGGGTGCGAATTTCAACAACGCGTTGTGGCGTGTCTTTAGGAGCGCGCAGGGGAGTGGCGAGGATTGTGCTAATAACGAGGTGACTGTTGAGTCAAGTGAGACGTGTTCCAGTAACGAAGTGGCGCCAGAGAAGGCCGCGTTGCACGGTGGCGGCGCGTTTCACGGAGGCGGCGCGCAGCTGTGGGGCAGTGCCAGGTGGACGGCGCGCGGGCGCGGAGGCGGGGCGGACAACTTGTCCCCATCTGTGTTTCTCCGCGCAATCAAGGGAGTGGGCGCGCGCGGAAGCGGTGCTGCTGGCGGGGGCGGGGATGGCGGAGGTGGCGGCGGTGTGGTGGGCAGTTGGGGGAGGGCGAGCGGGGACAGGCTGAGCGGGTGGGCGTGGGTAGACGCGTGGGGGGTCGGAGAGAGGGGCGCGGGCGCGGACGAGGGGCCGCGGAGCAGGGGGGCGGGGAAGGCGCACGGGGAGGGGGGAGGCGGGAACGACGGGAAAGTGTGTGGAGAGGAGGAGAGTTCAGGGGAGTCTGGGGACCCGGGAAGGTGGAGAGATGCAGGGGCGGAGGGAGCGGGTAATGAAAGTGGGGAAGAGGGGAAGAGAGTGGGGAGTGGGCAGGCGGAAGAAGGGGCCATGGGATTGGGGGAGGAGGGGAGGCGGAAGGAACAAGAGGGGCTGCGAGTGGGTAGGGCGGTAGAAGTGGGCAGTGTTGCTGACGTACGCAGTAGTGCTGACGTGGACAGTGGTTCTGACATGGACAGTGTGGTGCACAAGGCAGCGGACGAGCAGGCAGGAGAAGCCAAATCAGTTAGCGGGGAGGAGGGGACGCCATGGCGGGAGGAGGGGACGCCATGGCGGGAGAAGGAGGGGGCCAGTGCCAGTGAGGATGGCTGCTACAGCAGGGGGAGTGGGGGGAGAGGGGGGCCTGACCAGGGCTGTCAGCAGCACAATGACTCTGTTGATGCTGTTGACTCGGTTGACTCAGCCGACTCGGGTGACTCAGTGGGCGCGGTTGACTCAGTTGACTCCACAGAGGATACGGCATGCTCCAGTGGTGCTGGTGGTGCTGCTGGTGGTGGTGGCAGCCCGTTGCTGAGGTCGTCTACATCCATGCCCTCGCTGCATGCCCGCCGCCCCTCCCGCCATGCCTCTGCCCTCGCGCATGCTCTTGTCCATGCGCATCCCCATGCCAACCCGCACGTGCAAGCATCAGCCGTGGTTCTGAGTGCGCAGGGTGCTGCTGCTCCTCACATGCGACCTTCCGCCTCGTTCTCAGGGCCGCTAGTGCAGCCAGGAGCGACAGCAGCAACCAAGTCTGGTCCTCTGGTGGTGCCAGCACCAGCAGGAAGGGCGGCAGCAGGAAGGGCGGCAGCAGGAACATCCGCTCACCCTGGTGGTAACCGCAGCCGCAGTGCCAATGCTGGCAGCAACAGTGGGAGCAGCAGTGTGCAGTTGGCAGGCAAGGCAGAGGCGCTGATTCGGTTCATCGCCTCTCCTGCTGCTGCACCCTCTGCTGTGCCCCACAGCATGCCTCGACTGTGGGCCAACACCAGCAGCGGTGGCAGCAGCATAAGCAGTAGAAGCGGTAGTGGTAGCGGCAGGGGATGGGTGATGGAGTGCACTCTGCTGGCAGGGCTGGGGCGTACGGCGGGACAGGGGGGCGGTGGAGGGGAAGGGAGTGGAGGGAACTCAGGTCAGGCAGGCCAAGGTTCGGTGCAGGTTCGGAATGTGCAGCTGGTGGCGCATGTGGGTGGCGCTGCTGCTGCCCCTGTTGCTGCCCATGCGTCTGGTACTGCTAATACTACTGCTAGTGCTGGTGTTGGTGCTGGTGCTGGTGCTGGTGCTGGTGCCGGCGCCGGTGCTGGTGCTGGTGCTGGTGGTGCTGGTGGTGGAGCTGTGCTCGAGGTGCATCTGCGGGATGAAGGGGAGGGGAAGAGGGTGGAGGGTGGGGAGGGGGCAGCGGAGGCATGTGTGGTGCGGGTGGTGAGGATGAGAGGAGGACGAGGGGAAGGGGGCAATGGAGCGGAGGGAGCAGGGCAGGGCAGGAGGGTGAGTGCCCCTGGGATGCTGGCCACAGCTGCAGCAGCAGCGACAGCAGGTGCAGCCGCAGTGGGTGCAGCAGTGGTTGCAGCAACAGGTGCAGCAAAGGGCACAGCGACGGGTGCAGACGCAGCAGCAGCAGCAGCAGCAGCAGCAGCAGCAGCAGCAGCAGGAGGAGGAGGGGGAGGGGGGGTGTATCTCTTGTCTCTGGATACCACAGCAGTCACCCCCCTGCAGGCGCTAGGCATGTGTGTGGCATGGCTGGACAGTGCTGCTGCCAGGCGCCCTCTCGTGTAGTGCTGCCCTACCTGCACTCCCTCTCGTGTAGTGCTGCCCTACCTGCACTCCCTCTCGTGTAGTGCTGCCCTACCTGCACTCCCTCTCGTGTAATATTGCCTCCTCTGCACCCCCTAGGCGTGCAGTCAGCATCAGCATCAGCATCAGCATCAGCATCAGCATCAGCATCAGCATCAGCATCAGCATCAGCATCTGATCCCATCACAAGCACTAGGCATGTGCATGGCATGGCTGGACAGTGCTACTGCCAGGCGCCCTGGCGCATAGGCAGCAAGTGACCAGCCGGTGGGGCCAGCCCTCCACGTACTACGGTGTTTATTGAGCGCTGGTTGTTGCGAGTTTCCTAAGACTAGCAAAGCAACGCATGCTCGTATACACTCCATAACTGGTCCTTGGGATGTAGGCAAACGCATATACACTTGACCTACCGAAATTTCACATGCAAGGGCATCGCCCCCCCACACCAACAGGATGGATAGTCAATGAATGCTGCTGCTAGTTGCCGCATCGGCAGAACAGGCAGGGCTTTACCCTGCTCTGCCACGTTGCCTGACGATGCTCCACAGGTGAGCGTTGAGGGGTGGATGGGTTGCACAGAACAGCTAGGGGCGCGAAGTTGCCGCTGTACATCAGTCACACTCGATTGTGTGTAGCTGCTGTTGTGACTGATTGACAGTTGTTGGTGTTTCTGGAACGAGCTCTTTGAGCTTCTTGATATCCCAAAGCTACTTGCACTGTGAGCCTCCTGCTGCACCGCTCCCTGGCGATGTCCTTGCCACACAACCAGTGCCAAAAGCTGCTCCAGCAGCAGCAGCAGCGGCAGATGACAAACATCGCGACACACTCCCTGCCGTGGGAAGCAGCTTGCTCTGAGCCAGCTGCTGCTTAAGTGCGCAACTCTTGTGGTATAAAATGCACCACTCTTGTGGTGAGCAACTCTTGTGGCTGCACTAGGTAGCCAGTGTTGCAATGCTTCTGTGCTGCTTGTATAGACACACACAGGGCACGTGAATACAGTTAAGACGGTGAGAGGGCGAGAGGGCAAGGGGAACACGGCCGTGGGCCCCCCTCACATGCAGTATTTCCCTCGCCTCTCCTCCAGCCATCGCTGCTGCCACCACCGCACTCTCACTCCCCCTCACGCGCCGCTTGCCACTCGGGTACGAGAAGAAGTTTTGCAAGAAACTTGATTTTATGCCAACTTTTATGTATATTAAACAATTGCTTCGGGTACACACAGGTGTACCACTACAATTTAGGTTATCTTCTCCCGTTAACCCTCCCACCCTGCACCCTAGCCCGTAACTAACACTACCCTCCTACCCTGCACCCTAGCCTGTAACTAACACTACCCTCCTACCAACCACATTCACGCGTCCCGCACAGGCGATGCGGGTTGCCTCGTGGTAACCCGCATTTCGCCTAGGGAATGGGGATGGCGACCTTCATGTCGCGCTGGCAGTCGTCGCCGATGCTGCTGCCGAAATAGAGCGTGGTGCCCTTGTCCGTGGGCTTCACAATGTAGCGGTAAAAGCCGAAATAGCTGCCCGACGCTAGCGTCTTGGAGAGAAAGAAGCTGCACGTGCTGAACCCGATGATCGTTGGGAACTGCCGCACGTCGTGCCGGCCCAGCCAGCGGAACACTGCATAACGGGGATGGACGGGTGGGGGGACGGGTGAAACAGGGGATCAGAGAGGGAAAGGGACCGGCGGCGAAGTGCGAACGGGGGGGGGGGCTTCTTTTTGGCAAAGCACTAAGGCTGGCTCGATTGCGGTCGAACGGGAAAACGCATGTTTAATGAGCAGTGTTCATAGGAAAACGCATATTGGTAACCCCAGTAGCCCCAATTCGCCTAGAAGCGTGGCTTACGAATGATGTCGCCGGGCTTGATGTTCCTGGGGGGAATCCAGCCCACCACGTCCTGGTTCCACGGGCTTTGAGACCTCTAAAGAATCCGCGAGATAATCATCGAGATTTGAGACATCGGAGCTTACGAATGATATCGCCGGGCTTGATGTTCCTGGGGGGAATCCAGCCCACCACGTCCTGGTTCCATGGGCTGAAGTAGCGCAGCAGCCCCGACCCCACCTCGTATAGCTTCCCCTGTGTTTTCAGCTGCGCGGATGTGGGGGGGGAGGGCGCGTGGGTTGAGAAGGAGGGAGCGAGTGGAAGAGGCGTTGTGAGTCGAGGAGCGACGGTTGAGCGTGGTGAGGGGCGGGTAAAGGGGGTAGAGGTGAGGCGGGTGAGCGGTGGGGGGAGGGGGGCGACCGTGGATGGCTGGTGTTTGAGCAGGAAGGAGTTGAGACGACGGAGAACAGTAATGACAGAAGAAATGCAGCAATATGCGAGATTTGACCGGGAATTCTCAAGAGAAGAAAGACCGGGGGGGGGAGGGGGTAAGAAAGAAGAGGGGGGGGGGGGGGGGGGGGGGGGGGGGGGGGGGGGGGGGGAGGGGGGGGACCAGCAGGAGGGCGAAGGGCAGAAGGGCGCGGAGGGCGAAGGTGGGCGGAGAGGGAGGAAGTGGCACCTGTGCGTGGGCGAACTCTGCGTGGAACGCGCACAGGAGGACGCACGCAGTGAGAACGGCTGTGAGCCTCGCCATGGAGGCGAGTCGTGCGCGCTGTGAGAGTCGACGGTGAGGCACGAGTGTGGTGCTTGCGGTCTGAATGTGTTGGATGCGGTCTACACGTGCTAGTTGCTACGACAGAACACGAGTGTGCGAGAGGTGCACTTAAAAGCTATGGCAGCGGGACCTTCTGTGAGTTGAATGAACAGCGTCGCAAAACAAGTGGCCGTTTTACCGACTCTGTGAGGGTCAAAGGAACTTATATCGGAACTGAGGTGCGGTACTCGGTTATCATCAGAGTGGTAGTATGTGTTTAAACAAGAAACTAGGACGGTGAACAAAGACCACCGCCACGGTCGTGGCGCCTGTTGGGCCGACAGATTCGTTCTCATAATCTAGCCGCCAAAGCACACCACATACGGACGCGGGGTTGAGCGGCAAAGCAGGCACAGGTTGTGTATGGTTGAACTAGGAGCGAGGATGGCTGTGTGTGCAGGAGTAGCTAACCCGTTGGGGTGAATTGGAGAAGGGCGCGGGAGAGAGGGCGCCACAAAGCACGCCAAAGTGCCTCCGCGAAATGTTACTGGAAAGATGTGGAATGGGAATTTCTGAACCAAGCGAATGCGGTTCGAAGAACGCGATTCGCTAAGGGACAGGGGGCGAAATCATCAGCGGCTCGCAATTGGGAAGAGCCAATCAGGTTGAAACGCAGAACACAACAGCTGTGGCGAATGGATGTCAGACGCTCAACGAGCGACAATCGGATGGTATGCGACAGTCGCCTCGCTGGCGAATTCAACATCAGCGGTTGTCGGTGGTTGGGTGAGTGTTCTCACCAAAACTACAACACCAGGAAATTTAGCCAAAGGAGTAAAAGCGCGCCAGCAAGGGGTCGAACCTTGGACCTCTCGCTTAGGAAGCGAACACTCTATCCACTGAGTTACAGGCGCACGGATGATTAATACTCTTTTTAAATATGTCGTTAAAATATTCCGTGAATCTCCACACAGAAAATGGCGCCGCCGCCATGTATCGCTGGTTAGCGCATCATTCTTATTGCACGAAATTGACTTGTCTTTCTGCGCACCCGCACATCAAGCCTAACGATCGATCGAGTCGTTTCTAAGTACCCGAATTCGTTTGCACTTCGTCGTCCCCGATTCCCTTTCTCTCCAGCGCGCATCATCAACTCCCGCGCGCCGCATCCCACTCCCCATTCTGACCACGACTGCTTCTTCTCTCGATAAAAGCAGCCACTTTTTCAGCATGGATAGGCCGTACCAGGGCGGCAGCGCGGCGGCGTCGTGCGTGGAGGAGGGCGGCAGGAAAGGCGAGACCTTTGACGACGCCGCCGCAGAGGAACTCGCGGCGAAGCTTCGTCTGAAGTTCCGGTCGGGCGAGACGCGGAACCTGGCGTGGCGCGAGCAGCAGCTGCGCAACCTGTTGCGCATGGCGGAGGAGCACGAGGACGACATGATGGCGGCTCTTAAAGCCGACCTGGGCCGCGGCCGCATGGAGGGCCTCATCGAGGTATTGAGGGCTGTCATTGAGAGGGCGACATTGAAAGGGTGGCATTGAAAGTCTGACACTGGGGAAGTGGCATTGCTGCGTCGCGTTGATAAAGAGAGCGCGCGAGTGTGGTGCGCATGTGGCGCGAGCAGCAGGTGCGCAATCTGGTGCGCCCGGCGGAGGGCCAGGATGACAACATTATGTCGACTTTATGTCTCGCAGGTAACCAACCACTGAGTCGATTCAAATGCCGACTCGCCGCTCAAGGCGGCCCTGGGGCGCAGCCGCATGGACGCCCTCGTCTCGTCTCGTCTCGTCTTGTCTCGTCTCGTCTCGTCTCGTCTCGTCTCGTCTCGTCTCGTCTCGTCTCGTCTCGTCTCGTCTCGTCTCGTCGAGGTAGCATAGTACCACGGGAGGGCTCTCTGAGGCGCCTCAGCGTGTGTTGAAGAAATCAAGGGCTGTGTAGGCTGGCATTGAGAGGACGACATCGCCACACCAGGCGGCTGACAGTGGGGAAGTGGCATTGGAAGTGGGGCTTTAAATGAAGAGAGAGTGATAGTGTGAGAGTGGGATGCGCAACGGAGAGGAGCATTGAAAGGAAGGCGGCCTGTGGTGCTCACTGTCACGGGTGTGCCACATGCTGATGAGACCTGAGGGAATTCCCTGCTGAAGCGTCTCTGCATTACATTGAATCTTGTTTTGAGACGTCTCAAGACACGTCTCTGCATTACATAGAATCTTGTTTTGAGACGTCTCAAAACGCGTCTCTGCATTACATTGAATCTTGCGGCCGCCCGTCTTCCTTCCCTTCCTGCCTCCACGCGCTCCCAACCCGATCCGCCCGCAGGTGCTGGGCGTGTGGAAGGCGGCGAGCTTCATGCTGAAGCACTTCAAGAAGTGGGTCAAACCACAAAAGGTGCGCCT